CAAGCAATCTCATGACTGGAAAAGGAATGATAGTTCCTAGAGTAGGAAGGGCAGATGAAAGTTTTGGAGTGGAAGTATACAGTGAGTGAGAGGAGTTCTGCTCTTGCTTTCGATAACAATCAGATCTACTTAGGTCTGCAGCTTCTATGACTAAATAACTATAAACTATGAGCTCAACACATGGAAAGAGAAATGACTGAATGAATGGAAACACTAATTATCACAGTGTATGTTTGCACATGAGTGTATAGGCCACAAGTTGATCCTGAGTATATGACTCAGTTGACTTAGACATTATTTTTGAGGGCACTAAACTTGAAGTTCAGGAGGGTCAGATAGAATGGTTGTATAGCAAGATTCAGAGATGCTACATTCACTACCTCACCAGTTCTGAGAATATAAGGATAAATCATCACCACCAGCTTCAAAGTTAAGTGCTAAAAATCAAACTGAAGCACTCATTCTGTGAGGGAGGCACCTTACTACTGAGCCATCTCCTCAGCCCTAAATTATAGCACTATTTATTGTAAACATTAATAAAAATGTTATAAACTATGAAACTAGAATATACATCATATTATAATTTTTTAAAAAAAAGTATTTTCAATTCTGGATTTTCAATCCAATTATTGTCAGTATGAAAATGAATGTCATGAGTCTGGTCCCAAAATTGAGAGTAAAACTATGCCTCTTATGGATGTGGGCAAGTTAAAAAAAAAGAGGAAAGACAGGAAAAGAGATGAGGGAAGAAAATAATGATCAGAATTTATTATATGAAAAAAATATAGGTTTTAAGAACTCTGTATGAGATGGCGATGTCTACATCTGTCTGGGGCCTCTTACAACAGTTATTAATCAAGACAATGACATCACAGCCTTGCCTGAAAACCAAAATAATATAGGTATTTTTTCCAAATAAAGTTCCTTTTTCCATGATGACTCTTGTTAATATCATGTAAAAAGATTCTGACCACCACACAACTGGACAGGCTGCTACTGTTAATTCTACATGGCCCATTAAGTGAGTATCCATCTATCCACTTTATATAATTAAACAAATGGCTGAATAAACCCTTAAGAATAAGGATACACCTCTCAAATAGAAGATAATAATAAATAACATGTGACTTTATCATGAATTAATTTCCTTCAAAAATGATGTTTTCCCAGTGACTTCCTTCTTGAGAGACTCATGGAAAAAGAAACCCAAGGAGTAAGAGAGTATGGAATATGGACACTAACTCTCTGTGGGAGTTTGAATGAAATTGGCCCACATAATCTCAAAGAGAGTGACACTTTTAAGATGTGGGGCATTGCTGGAGTGGGCACAGCTAGGTTGGAGGAAATGAGTCACTGTGGAGGGTAGGCATTTAGGTTTTCTATGCTCAGGATGCTGCCCAATCTGTCAGTTGACTTCTTGTTCCTTGCAAGTTGTTGGACTCTCAGGTATTCCTCCATCACCATGTCTTCCTGAAGGCTGCCATTCTTCCTGCTATGATGAGAATGTTCTGAACTTCTGGAGCTGTAGGAATGCCCTTTAAATTCTATTCCTTATAACAGCTGTGGGCATGGTGTCTTTTCATAGAAATGGAAACCTAAATTAGACAATATCTCTGAAGTAACAAAGGACAAAAAATATTTGAATAAGTGCATTTATATCTAGTTTCCCAATATAGTATAAGAAATGTGCATTTATTTCTGAGATACTCCATCCCAGATTATTGTAACCACAATAAAAATATCAAAGACACACAAGAAGACACATACTAAGCATCATGTCTTTTTATAACCCTGAAACATTCAAAAATACAGGGGACATTGAACTCATACTGTACATGATGATCAGTGCTTTCACAGAATGGCTATCTCCTTAAAGTTAAGAGCAGGTTCTATCACAGCAACTCACAGAAAAAAGTGAAAAGATTAAGCATAAAGAAATAATGGACACAAATTGTGACGTCTCTAATGTCAAGTTAGGCAAATATTTCCAGAGTATTGAATGAACACATTAGTTCCAACTCTGCACTTTTCTTCACTGGTGAATTCCATTAACAAGACACAGAAAAAGACACTATAAACTCTTGTTATCTATGCCTTGACTATCATTCAAGTCACAGAGTTTCCCATGTTTATATCTGCCTTCCAGTCTACTTCTTATTCATCACTTGATATTCTCTGTATTGTTATTACTTCAGTGAACATAACTCTCAAACCTGGCTACCTGCTGTTGCTTTTTTTTTCTCTTTTTCTTTTAATGAAAAAAATTTCTGCCTCCTCCCTGCCTCCCATTTCCCTCCACCTCCCCCCACTCTTCTCCACCTCCCCCTACTTCTCTCCCCCACCCCCCCACTCCTTTCCCCCTCCCTCTCCAGTCCAAAGAGCAGTCAGGGTTCCCTGCCCTGTGGGAAGTCCAAGGTCCTCCTCCCTCCATCCAGGTCTAAGAAGGTGGGCATCCAAACAGGCAAGGCTCTCAAAAAGAAAGTTCATGCAGTAGGATCAAAACCCAGTGCCATTGTCTTTGGCTTCTCATCAGCCCTCTTTGTCCACCATGTTCAGATAGTCCGGTTTTATCCCATGCTTTTTCAGTCCCAGTCCAGCTGGCCTTGGTGAGCTCCCAATAGGTCAGCCCCACTTCTCAGTGAGCGGGTGCACCCCTCCCGGTCCTGACTTCCTTGCTCATGTTCTCCCTCCTTCTGCTCCTCCTTTGGACCTTGGGAGCTCAGTCTGGTGCTCCAGTGTGGGTCTCTGTCTCTATCTCCATCCATCACCAGATGAAGGTTCTATGGTGATATGCAAGATATTCATCAGTATGGCTATAGGATAGGGCCATTTCAGGTTCCCTCTCTTCAGCTGCTCAGGAACTATCTGGGGACATATCCCTGGACACCTGGGAGCTCCTCTAGAGTCAATTCTCTTGCCAACCCTAAGATGGCTCTCTCAATAAGGATATATATTTTCCTGCTCCCATATCCACCCTTCTTTTATCCCAACCATCCCATTCCCCCAAGCTATCCCCATCCTCCTCTTCTCACCTTTCTCTCCCCATTTCCCTTTACCTCCACCCCACCCCACCCCCATGTTACCAATTTTTGCCTGGCAATCTTGTCTACTTCCAATATCCAGAAGGATGACTAAATGTTTTTCTTTGGGTTCACCTTCTTATTTAGCTTCTCTAGGATCACAAATTATAGGCTCAATGTCCTTTACTTGTGGCTCTTGGGAATATACCCAAGAGATGTCTTATCATATTACAAAAGCATTTGTTCAACTATGTTCATAGCAGCATTATTTGTAATAACCAGAACCTGGAAACAACCTAGATGCCCTTCAATGGAAGAATGAATGAAGAACGTATGGATATATACATATTAGAGTACTACTCAGTGGTTAAAAACAATGACATCTTGAATTTTGCATGCAAATGGAAGAAAATAGAAAACTCTATCCTGAGTGAGGTAACCCAGACCCAAAAAGATGAACATGGGATGTACTCACTCATAATTGGTTTCTAGCCATAAATAAAGGACACTGAGCCTATAATTTGTGATCCTAGAGATGCTGTTGCATTTTATGAAGTGTTAAGAATAGGTGAGCTTCTCATAACTTACCAAAGCAAAAATCATATTTAGGAGTCTGTGATTGACTACAAGCTGAGGAGAGTGACAAAGAAAGATAAAAAAGAACATGAAGAGACTGACATAAATAAAGAGGAACAAAAACTAGTGTCCAAGTAAAATGTTGCTAAGTGATAAGGTAAAATTGAGCTTAATAAGATGGGACGGACCCAAAGCAGTTCCACAGATTTCCTTACAGATAAACATGTGAAATCACAGGTATGAAATGTGTGTGAACTGCTCCCTCACAAGTTATTTCCTGAGAAGTTATAAGAATGAGACAATTCCACAGACACCAAGAGAAAGAATTTAATTAGTTCCTTAAACAGGATTTCTGATCACCAAAAGTAACAATATTATTTAAATTCTCTACTGGAAGTTACAGAGATACATAAATACATTGAGAACCTTGTGTCCTCCTCTGCCTGCATGGGATGAATGTGGACCTAGTTAATGTAAACATTTCCTTGTTTGCTTCTAAGGCCTGTACAGTATGACCCTTAATATTTCCTGTTTTTCTGAAATTGTAAATCCATTGAGCATCACAGAAATATTCCTGAGGTTTAATATTCAGTACCTCTAAGACAGACAAAGCAAATCTCAGTTTCCTGGAGGAGAAATTGGAAACATTGCCTGTGCTTCTTTTTATGCTCTCTGGAAGCTCCACCAATGCAAAGCAGTCTTCAAGCTCAGGATGGGACTTGGCGGACACTGTGCAGACATGGCTGATCCGGCTCAGATGTGAACTTATATTTTTTGATGGTCCAAGCTTGAAACAGTGAAGCCTACACTGAGGGCAGATTGTCCCACTATAACTAAATCAAGTAGGATTTTTGGTGGTTGACCTGAAGAGTGGTAGGCTTTTTGTTGGCAAGGTCTCTGGTGAACGGGGAGCCTGGTCCTGTCCCTGAAGACCCTCCTGAGTGGTGAGAGTGTTCTTGACCCAAGGTGGGACCCAGGAAACAGAGCGGGGGCATTCTCCGACCCCCTTGACTCCCCGATCAGTCTGCTGGGGCTGCTCCTCCTCTCTCTCCCATCCCAGCTTGTGCCCAGGGGCTTCCTTCCTTCTCGCTCCCCTCCGAGGGGCCAAGGGATCACCCAGTTCAGCCTGTTTGGGCACTGGGTTGGGTGCCCGGGGCCGAGTGCAGCAGGAGTTTCTTTGTTCTGGTAGCTGGCCTGTAGAGTGGCAGGTCTTTTGTTGGCGAGGTCCCTGGCGAACGGAAGCCTAGTCCTGTTTCTGCAGACCCTTCTGAGTGGTGAGAGGGCTCTTGGCCCATGGTGGAGGCCAGGAAATGGAGCGGGGGCATCTTGTAAGCTGGGTCCCTGGCCAGCAGGGAAATCTGATCCTGTTTTAGAAGACCCATTAGATAGCATCGGTAGGAGGAGATGCGCAGGCGCCAAGGCAAGAATTCACCCAAAAATCTGAAAAACAACATGAAAACACCAGAACACAGTGATCTTACAACAGAAGGACTTGAACACCCTAGCACAGAGTGGAAAAAATTGACTTTATGAAAGCAATAGAGTCCCTTAAACAACATGTAAAAAATGCCCTTATAGAAATAGATGAAAAGTACAACAAAAAGTTTGAAGAAATGAGTAAATACATAAATGATACCTGGGAAACCAAGAAAAAAATGATCAAACAGGTAATGGAAACAAAGGAAGAAAACACAAACTGAGGACTGGCTGGATATGGAAAATCTAGGTCAACGAGCAGAGACTACAGAAACATGCATAATAAATAGAATACAAGAGATAGAAGAAAGAAGCCTAGATTCTGAGGACACCATAGAGAAAATAAACGCACTGATCAAAGAAAACAGCAAAGCCAACAAATTCTCATTACAGAATATTTGGGAAATATGGAACACAATAAAAAGACCAAACCTAAGAATAATAGGGATAGAAGAAGAGTCACAGCTCAAAGGGCCAGAAAATATTTTTAACAAAATTATGGAAGAAAACTTTCCCAACATAAAGAAAGATATTCCTTTGAATATTCAAAAAGCATAAAGAACACCAAATAGACTGGATCCAAAAAAAATCCCCCCGCCATATAATAATCAAAACCTAAAAATGAACCATCCACAGTTTCCTACTTCTAAACTAATAGGACCTTATAAAAGTGTACAGTTGTTATAACTGTTGCACGATTATATTTTTGAACATTTGCACTTTGGTAGAAATTACTTTGCACATCAAAGTCCAAGCTAATGATTTCTTTACTGGGACATTGTGCGACTCAGACCACAAAATTCTCAGCAACGAATATGCACATTTTTGCAAACATCAACTGTGGTCCCTGGTTTATAATTCTTAAGCCCTACCCATAGCATCTGAGTTTTATGATTTTCACAATTTGTGTTTTTGTTAGTGCTTTTGTTGTTCCCTTAATTATTCCTTTGCACTCTCTGTTGTTGTTTTGTGTTTGGTATTCTTACTTCTGTTTTTTTTTAGGCTTGGAACTAGAATAGAAGTCAAGACAGGAAAAGACATCTTAAGTGAAGGACAAGACAGAAAAAGCACAGGGTAATACAGAGTTGTGAAAGGAAAAGTTGGGTATAGTGACATAAAGGGGCTGAAAGGGTAGAAAGCATGGGAATTTGGGAAAATAAAAACAAAGTCTTCTGAAAATACAAAATTGATGAAAAACTTCTGTGTTTTGTTTCAAAGGTGCATTAAATGTCCCCATTGTGCTGACTATATAAATATACAGAAATTAAAACTGATCTAAAACATCATGAAGACAGACATGTGTTTCCTGGTATCGAGGTGGGAAAGGGAAAGAGTGGGGAATAAAAATTAATCATATTGAGAACACTAGAACGCAAACAACTGAGTAATGAAAATATAAATATATGCCCACAGCAATCACAAAGAGGAAGACAGACAACAACAAGAAACATCTTATTTGCAAACTTCATGAGGCCATATGACAGCATTTCTCAAAAGTGAGTAAAATTGAGAAAAGTCTCAAGTGTTCCAGTCATAGGGAAGTAGTTCTACTTAGAGGGGTGTGGGACCCTATCCAAGATTCACCTCAGGAAGAATCCATGTCCAGCAGAGACAGAGGGACAGATAGAGCTAATATCTAGAAGCACAGCTGTGGGTGGAGATTTTTAATTTTACATTGACCCTAAAGAGATATGACAGTGTGGAAGCACAACATTCCCTGTGCATATGGTAAAAAGGGAACTAAATAAAGTGTGGTGAATCCCTATTAAGGAAAATGTGTACACAGAGCTACGTTAATTCTTCAAATTCTATTACTGTCATCAGTGTGTATGATGTCTTATATCTGCTCTGATTACTGCCTTCTACCCAGGTCCAACTACAGACTCTATTATGGGAGGAAGATATGCAAATAAGACTTCTTTGTGCCCTTAAAATTTAGCCCTACCCTGACCCTGCAGCGCTGGCAGAGGAGACACACACTATTCCCAAGTCCTCCCAGTCAGGGTTCAACATTGAACACAGGACACTTACCGTGGACTTAAGGCTCATATTGGTTTCCTTTGTTCTTATTTTACAAGGTAATTCATAAAGATGAGATGTTGTGTATTGTATGGACATGAGAAAGAGAAAATAAATGTATTTTCTCAGTTTTCTAACCAGAATTCCTTGTGCTTACAGATGTCCAGTGTGAGGTGCAGTTGCTGGAGTCTGGGGGAGGCATAATGCTGCCTGCAAAGTCCCTGAAACTCTCCTGTGCAGCCTCTGGATTTACCTTGAGTGGCTACTGGGTCCGCCAGGCTCCAGGGAAAAGGCTAGAGTGGGTCGCATATATTAATCAATATGGTAGCACCTACTATACCGACGCTGTGAAGGGCCGGTTCACAATCTCCAGAGACAATGCCAAGAACACTCTGTACCTGGAAATGAGCAGTCTGAAGTCTGAGGACACAGCCATGTATTACTGTGCAAGAGACACAATGAGTGAATGCTACTGTGAGCTCAGACAAAAACACCGCTGTGGGGAACACGGGACCAGCAGGGGGCACTGAGAGCACTTAGAGTTCTAGGTCACAGAAGAGCCTGCTCAGAGAAGCATGGAAGACTGTCTCCACCTCCTCTCTATACCACACTTTAGGGATTTTCTCTACAAGTGTAGTGTGTAGTAACCCTTGAATGTCCAAATGAATGTTCAAATTTTTGTTTCCAGTTGTGTTGTGTGTATTTATTATAGTGTTTCTCCTTTTTTTCCTTTATCTCTGTCTGTCTACCTATCTCTGTCTATATGTCATTTTCTCTCCCTCTTTCTCTCTCTCAATCTTTCTCTCTCACTCTTCTCCATGTATGTTTGTGGGGGGTTGGTGGGTGTTGACATATGATGAATTTTTTTAACAATCTGTATCATTTATTGTGAGACAAGTTCTATCACTGGGCCTAGTTCTTAATGACTAGATAGTCTAGTTGTCCACTGAGTCCCAGTGATTGTTCATTCTCCACATTCCCTATATGGTACACTTGGTTGACTGCCACACCTATTTCTGTTTTTAATTATAGATTCTGATTTCTTTGTTTAGAACATACTGAAGCTTTCTTGTGTGGCAAAAAAAAAAAACTTGATTTTTACAGTCCAATTATAGTTGCTTTTTAAATTTAGGATGTGCTTTTACCTGAACAAAATGCAAGTCATTATACAGAGAAAATGATCCTGTTCAGTGACCAGCATAAGTTTAAGAAGAAGCCAAAGAAGATTGTAAACCCCAGAAGTTGAAGGCAGCTCAGAGCCACATGTGAGTCTAGTGGACCCTGTGGTATCTGTTTATCTTCATGAGCACTACACTACCCACACACAAACATCTACCACTAATTAAAACAGTGTATTTAAAAAAAATCTCATTAAATGCTGTGATTTTGCCCAATGGTCTAGTTCTTGTGTAGTTTACATGAGACCTTGATTCAAATGGTAATATTACAAAACATATTTATCATTTTTAATACAAAAGGACTGAGTTTGAAACATCAGTACTCCCCTTTAAAGGTTATAACAAGATTTCTGTCATCCAAGAGAACAGTTTAACTTTTCTTTCCAAGAAAAACTCCTTTTTCTCACTTCTCTAAGTTTTGAGTCAGGAGGTTAATGGATAGCTCTAGGAACCCAGAGTTTAGAGGTGATGTCCTCATGAACAAATCATGTTCTGCCTTCCATCTTCAGAAACAGAAAAAGGGGTTATAGATGAAGTTCAGAAAAGCAAAAGAGCCAGCCGCTGACTCTTACCTCTACCTTAGTCCAAAATGATGATCCTGTCTCCAGGAATCTCAGAATGAGAGAGATTCTGAGAGCTGTCTCCTCCCTTTTTATAATCCTCTCTAGTTTTGGGAGTAAGGGTTTGTACCACTATTGCCTGGTTTGTAAGGCAAGCTAGTGTGGCTACTGGGGTTAAAGATGTGTGTCATTGCTGACTGGTTTGTAAGGTTGGCCATTGTATTTGTTTTACTCCTTTGATTCTCAAGTAAGGTATAGTTATTAAAGTACAAATGAAATGTCACTACACATTTCAATGGGAACATGGTTCTGCTAGACATTGGTTAATAATGTGTAGGATCTTTAGAGAATTAGAAACAAAGACCTTGTGACGAGCAATATATGCGTTGTGAGGAAATGGAGTGGGATTTTCATTTGGAATAGTTTTTTATCCACTTCCGTGTTTATTTACTGATATCACAGTTATACTACCTCTCCATCTGGATTCTCTCTGTCTGAAAGCCTGAGTCCTATATAGTCCCATAAAAACCCCCTCAATGAATGGTGCTTCTACCTCCCACATTCCCACAGTCCTTATACTATGTGTCATTAGCATGGAGCTTTTCCTTGAATGAAAGTGGGTACTTGAAATAAACCGGCTCAGCCAGGGCACTAGGATCAATGGAACAGGGTCTCAGATGGGTAAGGAGTCAGGGAATGATACATACAAGACTCAAAGGAATTGCATCTGAATGCATTTTACTAGGCCTGAGGCTCATCCTTTATACAGAAAAACAATGTGTAGCAGCATGTGTTATTTTTTTCATGTGATAGAGATTATTCTTAGAATCATTATATTATAATAGTAATAAAAGGAGAGGTTGCCACTGCTCATCTGCACATTCGAGAACCAGCTCAGAGGTTCAGAGAGCATACTGTTTTTTCAGGGAAACAGTTTCAATTTCTAGCACCCACAATTTTAAGGCATGCCTACCTGTAAGTCTGGAGAACACATGGTCTCCATTTGTCCCCATGCACACTACACTTCTCACACAGAAACATACACACATATTAAAAACAAAATGTTTCATTTTTTCATCCACTGTTGAGAGTTAACCCAATATGAGTGCTCCATCATTTATATGAAGCTTTGATACATATAGAAAATTTCAAAAAGTATTCCTCATGTAGATTAATGAATATTGCTTTTGAAATACCACCACTCCTTATAAAATGTTAAGACCTTTAACTCCTAACCTTTTGTCTCACCCAAGAGATAAGTCTCATTTTTTTCTCAAATATAACTCATTTCTATCACTTGTCTGAAATTTGAGTATAAGGATAGCACATATCTCTGATGCCCTCATGAACAGACATTTTCCTGCATACCATTCTCTCCTTTGGTTCTTCCATCTTGGCCAATGTAGGTGGGCAGAGTAGGCTGTATAGAACAAGCAACTTTGATCAACATAAAAATTAAAGCCAAAAGGATAAGTTGCCTGTATCCAATAACCAACAATCAAGACCCATTTACTAAAGGAAAGAAAGAAATCACAGTGCTACGAGGATGGAGAGAAATGGGCCTTGTGCCTTGTAAAGGGAACATGGTTCTGTTAAGTTACTGTAACGAAGTTTGGGCGAAACACAAAAATTGCACCATTCCAATGTGGCTAAAACGCTGCTAGAGACTTGCCTACAGGCCAATCTAGTGGGAGCATTTTCTTCCAACTGAAATTTGCAATTCCCAGAAGATCATAGCTTTTTCTACACTGAAAAAAATCTAACCAGCATATGAATATAAAATATCATTCTGACATTGTAACATAAAGTATTAACTGTATGTCCATGAATCCAGGAGACATGACTGAATAAATGACTGAGGAAATTCAAATATAGAGATGCATCTCTCAAATAGAAGATAATTGTAAGTAATGTGCAGCTGTACCTTAAAGGCATTCCATTTGAACATTTTTTTCTTAGCAATTTTTCCTGGAGAGTTTCATGAAAAGAAAACCATTAGAAGCATGAGAGAACAAAATGTGGACACAAATTCTGTCTGATGTAAGCGAAGAAAAAAAAATCCTTGACTAAGAGGTCACATACCAGTTCTCCAGGATGGTATGAAAAATATGCAATTATTTCACAAGACCCAATAAGCACAATGAAAAATCAGACAAAGCAAAGATAAGACACACTGAGTATAATGTCGAAAATGTTCTTCTAACAAACATAGCATCCTGAACAAGTGCAGGAGAGCACTTATATTGGCAGGTGCCAATCAGAGCTTTCAGAAGATGGCAGCTCCACAATGTTAAAACCTGTCTCCTCCACAGCTACTCATATACAGAATATGAACAGAGGGAAAAAGTGCACAATATATGTGGTGTCCAATGTGAAAGAATTGGTGGATATTCTCTAGGATTTACTGACAGATTGTTTTGAGCTAGTGTCTACCATTCCCTGATGATTTACATTACCAAGGCATTGAGAAAAGCCTTAAATCCCTTTTTTTCTATGGTGATCTTCACCATAAGACAGTTTCTATTGTTCGAGTACCTCCTCCTCTTCACTTCTTGTGATCACTTAGGGTTCTCTGTCTTCTTATTGCTTCGGGTAACATAACCTTCAAGACTGGTTACATATTACTGCTTTTTATGAGGTGTCATGAAGAGGTGACCCTCAGTTCCTCACCAATGCAACAATAATATTTAGGAACCTGCTTTTGCAATGTGCTTCAAGTGGTAAAGAAACAAGGAAGGAAATAAAAATGTACATAGTGACAGAGACACAGACAAACAGAAAACAGGAGCTAGGAAATATCCAGGTGTGATGTCCTTGAGACCACTTATGTGTATGAAAATCAATCCCTTGAATCTCCTATCAGATAAAAAATTAAAATCACATGCACTAAATGTTTGTGAGTAGCATCCTCACAAATTGGATTTTCTAGGTGAGCAATAAAAAAAAATTAACTTCATTGACAACAGAAAGGATTTTAAGTAGTTCTTTAATCCTGATTTCACATCAGGAAGAGCCTGAACTGCATCTTATCATTAAATTCCATTAAACACTCTGCTAGAATTTACAGGGATATGTACTGAGGATGTGGTATCCTCTGTGGTCTGCACAGCATGAATGTGGAGTCACTTAATGTTTTCATCCAAGGTCTGCACAGTGTGAATCATACAATTTCCTCTTTATATGCAAGTGAGAATCCAGTGTCAGAAAATGTTACTCATTTTCTATCACCAGGTCCTCTAAGAAACACAAGGGCAATTCTAAGAAACCTGAGGAAATATTGTAAACCTTGCCCTGTGCTCTTTTATCCTTTCAGGAACCTCCCTCAAAGTTTATTTTTGTTATACTGTATATACATTTCTGCATTTATTTGAGGTATTGTGCATATGCACTTCATTTAATCATGTATTATAAATTCATAGTAATTATAAATATTAATGATTTAATGGTAGTACTAATTATATAAATTCTAAAAATGAATTTTATCTAACACAAGCATAAAGACAGTTATTTGCAACCTAGTGGAGAGATGAAGAGAGTAGTTAAAGGAATCACAGAGAATAGCGAAATGGAAACTAGTGAGGTTGCTGCAAACAGGATGTCTTCACAGCAAACACTGGGTGGCAGACATTGACAAGGAATGCCAGATCTGCAAGCCTCTGATGGCCTAAGCACACTGCTCTTTCCACAATGAGTAAAAATCAGAAAAATCTCACATGTTCTAATCACAACGAAGTAATTATGACAGAATGTGTAGGATGGTCTGATCATCTTCCAGAACCTCATCATGGAAGA